GGGATAGGAACAAATATAGATCTCTTCCAGTCAGTTGGCCAAGTGGTTGTTCTCCAGATTTCTTGGCACAACTTGGTGAGCACATCCAGGGCAGCATCCTCTTAACTGTGCCAGTAACATTTGGATTTTATTGGGAATTATTATAGAAGAGTATTGAGGTTGATTCTAACTAGTGGAACTATTGCTGATGTATGTTGTGAATTTCCAGTAGCTATTTTTAAGGTATAAATATATCCTTGGGAAAAAATAATGGACACTTAGTGATCCTGGCTTATGATAGATGGCTATGTGGGAGAGTAAATATGCTTTGAAAATAGAACCAGATGTTAACAATATTTTTGTTTGCTCTGATAAATTTTGGTTTCAAGCTCTGTGTTCTTAAATGGAGAAGATAAGGATCTTCTATTCCCTCACCCTTATTATATGGTAGTTCCATCAGAGAAATTGGACTTGGCCACTTAATGAGGTCTTATCTGCCACATTCATATAGATTCAGTTTGCACAGGGTTTCAGTAAGATTCAGAGTCATTATAAGAAGTTGAAGTGGTTACCAGAATCATGAAATACTGTTTGTATATGATTGATTGAAGTATAATACATTAGGAAAGAAAATAAACCACACTATGTACAAATACAAAGTTTGTACATTTACCAGAATAAATATATATCTCAATGTCCTAACTTAATGGATGACAGACTGGGATGACTAGATAATAAGTACTTAGCAATGTATTTGTAAATGATGGATCTGAGCACGAGAATCATTTAAATATACATTTTGTCTTTTATTTCAGAATATTTGTTCTATGTCAAGAAGTGGTTTATAGAGACAAAATTCCTTAGTTTCTTCCAAAGACTATGTTTTTCAAGACACCCCATTATTAAGAATCACTCAAGCATAGTATAGATAAATAATACAGACAAAAGAGAAGTATTTAAAGTTAAGAATTTTTTTTCAGATCTGCCTTGGGGAGGGGGTGAAGGCAACGGAACAAATGAGATATCAAACTGTCTCATCTAAAGATTCTATGGTATTATATTACAGAGGAGTTTCTAACACTTTTTTTATTTGTTGAATGTATCTCAAAAGGGATAATTCAGCTATAGGAACATAAAAGAATTTAGAATTGTGTGTATAAGCTAAGTGATACTGGTAATTTGAGTGAGGAAGAGACTTTTATTGATGTGCTATTTTATATATATAGGATTTCATGTTTAGAAAATGTACCTTTCTGGATTTCACAAAATATTTTGTTCCTAATGATATTTTTCCCCAGCAATAAGCTTATAAATGCCAACTATAATAAAATATCTTATTGCAAATTGTAATTTTAGGTGGTAGACAAAACTACAATAACTTTGGAATTCCAACTAAAAGAGAAATAGTATCTTACAATCTTTAGAAATGTTTTTAAGAACTAAATTGACCTTGATTTTTAGTTTTCACTATAAATAGTCCCTTGAAAATAAAATTATAATGATCTTTATGGTGATTGGTCAAACAGTGGCATGGTTAATGTTAGACCTAGCCTTTTAAATTTTAGGCTTAAACAAAATTGCTTAACTGTCAGTCTCTTTATCTACCTGTCTGTCCATTTACAATATTAGAAAACAGAATTTGTGAGAAATGATCCCAAATCTGTGAACAATTGCCTGTAATATTTAATTAAATAAGAAAAAAGTGGGCAGTTATGGCATGCTTTTAACTATGGAAGTCAATTATTTACAGATCTTAAATATAATTTTAATCAGTTTAAAGTCTAAGGTGAACCTCATCCAAGCCATGATATTTTCAGTTGTTCCCTGTCCATCAACAATCTGCGTTATGCAGATGATACAACCTTGCTCACTGAAACTGAGGAGGACCTCATGCACTTACTGCAGAGGGTCAAGGACTGCAGCCTTCAATATGGACCGAGGCTCAATGTCAAGAAGACAAAAATTCTCACCACTGGACCAATCGGTAGCATCATGATGGATGGCGAAGAGATTGAGATTGTTCACAGCTTCAGTTTGCTTGGCTCCATGGTCAACACTCTTGGCACCAGTAGCCAGGAAATAAAAAAAAAAAAGTATTGCAATGGGAAAGTCTGCGTTTAGGGACCTCTCTAAAATACTCAAGAGCAACAGTGTCTCTCTGGAGACCAAGGTGCACCTTATACAGGCCATCGTTTTTTCAATCACTTGTTATGCATCAGAGAGTTGGACAATGACTAGGGAGGATAGAAGGAGAATGGACACCTTTGAGCTGTGGTGCTGGAGAAGAGTATTGAATGTACCATGGACTGCCAAGAAAACAAACAGATTCATCGTAGAGAGGATTAAACCAGGCTGCTCCTTGGAGGCAAGGATTCTGGGGCTTCGTCTGACATACTTTGGACATGTTGTAAGGAGAGACAGGTCTTTAGAGAGGGATATCATGCTGGGTAGAGTAGAGGGACAGCGCAGGAGGGGAAGACCCTCTATGAGGTGGATTGATCCAGTGACTGGGGCACTCGGGATGGGTGTGTCAGAGGCAATGAGATTGGCACAGGATAGAGCACGGTGTAGGGCTGTTGTACATAGGGTCACTATGAGTCGCAAACGACTCGACGGCACATAACAACAACCCTGTGCATCTGAAAGTTGGACACTGAACAAGGATGTGTTGTTGGCAAAGGGTATTGAATATTTAATGGACTGTGAAACACATCTGTCTGAAAGGAATGTTCCTTAGAGTCAAGGATGGTGACATTTTTGTCTCACTTTGGGCATATATTTTAGAGGATCCAGTCCTTGAAAAAGGACATGGTGCTGGGAAAGATAGTCAGTGGAAGAAAGGAGAACCATCCATGAGATGGATTGACACAGTGACTACAACAGGCTTTACAGAGATGATGAGGATGACCCAGGAAGGGCAAGGTGCAGATCTGTGGCTCATAGGGTTGCTATGAGTAGTTGCCAAGTCCGTGGCACCCACACCTAACAAAACCAACAGCAAACACTTTTTATTGAGTATTGGGCTAAGAGTTGATGTTGTTGCTGTTGATTGCCTTTGAGTCGAGCATGACTCATCACAACTCTATGTACAAAAGGCCTGAGCACCTCTACAACAATCAACATTTATAAAAAAAGTTGATAGTATCAAGGAATGAAAGCATCTCCTCCAACTCTCCCAGTAAGAATTTGCTGGAACTAGGATTAGTTTCTATATTCTTAGGTTTAGTTTACCATTTTTTTTGTGTGTGTGATTGTTACTTTTAAGAAAAAAATTATATTTTCAATGATCAATTCATTGCAAGTACCTTTTTTTAAAGTTTATTTTATTATTTTTGTGTGTGTGTATGGTCAAATTGGATCTGACTGGTCCAGGAGGAGATTGCCCCTCCTTCTCCAGCAGAGCATCTGATGGATTCAAACTGTGTACCTCTGGGATTGCATGAAGTGCAGCTTCTTCCCACTAGGCCACCAGAGCTCCCTGCAAGTACCTTTTTATAAAAAATACTGGTTTATTTACAAAGGTTGGATACTTTGTTTTTCACACCAGATTTTTCCCCCATTTCCTTCACCAACCCCACCCATCAAATTGTGCCATCCTATGATTAACCTCCCCTCTGCCCTTCTTCACCCCTCTGCCTCCCCCCTCCCCAAATCCTTATACTCACCATTGCAAGAACGTGGAAACAGCCCAGATGTCCAGCCACAAACAAATGGATTGAGAAATTATGGTGCTTTCCTACGCCCTATTCAGGAACAATGATTTTGTAAATTACCACCTAATTTGGGAGGGACTGGCGAGATTACCACTTCTTAGATAATATATTCTTGCTGATAGCAAAGGAATATTGCAAATACAGCTGTTCAAGTCTTAGCAATCATGAATGACCCATATCTTGTGCTTCTCTTTCAGGGGATATGGATCAGTACATATATATTTACAATCTGTTTTGCTGCCAATGTGGGACTATTGTTCGGAGTTGTTTGTACCATAGCTATAGTAATTGGACGCTTCCCAAGGTAAGAGCTTATTTAAATGTCTGTTTATTCTGACAGAAAGTAAAGTATATGATGCCATTTGATTTTCATTCTTGCTCCTAATGTTAGTATTAGGGGTCTTTGGTGGCTTAATAGTAAGGAGTTATGTTGCCAACCCAAAGGTACTTGGTTTGAATCCAGGAGCTGCTCTGTGGGATAAGATGGACACTTTCCTCCAGTGTGATTTACTTCCTCTGAAAATCCCCTGGGGGGGGAGGTCAGCTATGTGTCGGCTAACTCAGGGATACATAATGACAATAATAATGCTAGCATTACAATCTCATGTTTTACTTGGTCTTAGATCTTTTGAAAATATAGATAATAAGTAAATGTTCCTCTATAAACATATGATGTATACTAATCATTATATCTTCATCTCTATGAAGAGAAATGTCTTGCCATTAGTATAAATTGAGGGTATTCTTTGGTGGTGCAATAGTTAAGCCCTTGACTACTAACCTAAAGTTTGGTGGCTTGAATCTAGACATAATGAAGGAGAAAAAGCTGGTTATTTTTTCTTGAGAAGATTCCAAACTAGAAAACCCCTTGGGGTAATGTACTGTACCACATGGGGCTGGTCATTGTAAGTCAGAATCAACTCAATGGCACCTGACAACAACAACAATTAAAGTAAATAAATTATCCCTATATCCCTGGATTATATCCTGTTTTGTTGTTTGTGTTTTTTGGTTGTTGGTTTTGTTTTTTTTTTAAATAAGTGAATGCAGTAATCAATGTCAATTATACAGAAAACCATTTGGAAAATAATAATTTTTAAAAACCTCTTAAACAGGTTTAAATATTTAGAAGCCAGATTTATCTTCAAGAAAATATTTCTAGACAATTTTTTTAAGGAACACATTATCTAATTTCTCTGAGCACCTGTAAACTGTTACCCTATTTTGACTACTTCTCTTTCTGTTCTCAGCATTCATCATATGATAATGTCTTCTCATTCACTTAAAATCCTTTTGAAAGAATATACTCTTAAACATTTGAAACTTTATAGACTCTGTCTATATAAATTAATTTTTAACAGCTTCTAGTTTTAATTAATTGGCTTTGATTCTAATTTCTTTTCTTCTAAAAGTTTATTAAAATGTATACTTACTACTCTTTTATATTTTGTATGTCTTCTATCTTTTAATAATAAATCTTTTCTTTTTCTAATTTACTATTGACTGTTGGAGCTATGGGGCCCTAAGTATGCAAATAAGGTAAATTATATTTGTACTTCTCTCGTTAGATGCCCTTTTTGTTTATTCTTAGTATCCAAAAATATATACATTTACCAATATTTTATGAATAAATGGGATATAGGACCTAAACTATTTCAGAGACAATGTAATTGTTAAGGTCAAATTATATTCATTTTATTTCTTCATTGTAATATGATAATTAAGCAATGACTCATTTGTTTCCTATTTTTTAAATTCCAGAGCAAAGACTGTGAATATAAAAAACATGAAAGAAATGGAATTTAAAATAAAAACAGAAATGGAAGGTGTAAGTTTAGTGTCCTTTGTTTTTTGTGTAATTATTCATATTTTTATGAATCTTTTTTAAGATAATATAAGAAACAGATAAATGATGACATTTTAAAATTAGATAATTCTGTTTTTTATTAGGTCTGAACTTTTAATGATAAATAGGTGATACACTTAGGGTGATCAACTTGTGGTGACTGAAAACAATAATCCTCTCCTCATTTATATCTTGGAGAAGGTGCAAGCAGAGTGCTCCTTATAGGTAAAGAGATAAAGCTTCATATCACACACTTTGGGTATGTGGCTACGAGAGGATATTCCTTAGAGGGAGCGTGTAGAAAGTGGAGGACGATGAAAGAGAGGAAGACCCTCAACCAGCTGGATTGACAGTGATTGCATCAACAGGCTCAAATGTCAGAGATTGTAAGGATGGCACAGGATAGGACAGGGTTCAGACCTGTTGTTCATTGAGCCACTATGAGTCATACTCAACTGGAGGGCACCTAACAACAGCATACCAACACTCATATAAGACCATATCATGGTTCATAGAACTACAGCTTATGGAAAATCATGACTTAGATAAAATTAGACGGTTGGAAATCATCTTTTTATTATTAACTTGCAAACTGGATTAATTATCCTGAATTACATGGTAGAGAAAAATAGGAAATAGGGATAAAGCAGAGCAGATTTATAGTATTTTTTAACCTCAGTAAATCAATCTACGGTGCCTGAGAATGATAAAATTCAATGGTTATTAGAAAGCTTTCAGAACTGGTTCAAAGTGATTCAGTAATTACTTTTGTCAATAAAATCTTCTATTTTTCATAGCAACCAAATATATTGCCTGTTATGTTATGTCCTGAATGAGTAGGAGACGTTTGTATCCATTAAGACATCATCTGAGTACATTGCTTTGAACGTATTACTCTAGAGACTTCTGTCAGTAATCTAGTACCCCACATCAGATGCCTAGAACTTTCAGAAGAAACTACAAGGGTGGGACTTCTGGAGAGCAGCATAATTGAAAGTTGTATGATTGGCAACCATCTATAAGTACGACATTGTTGTTTGTTCCTTACTTGGTTCCAAATGCCATAAGTAACGGATTTGGTTGCTGTTAACACACATCACATCTTGGTTGATGATTGCAATTATGAATCAATTTGAACTATTCAAAAGCCTTATTATAGAATGCCAGTTGGATCTGTTTCTTGCATGATGGACAACTTTTAAAAGAAAACAACTTGCATGAATTAGCCCTATACCTAGGCAAGGCCATTAGCTGTGCTTGAAAATAGATGAGATTTCAAAAAGGTGTTGGTTTTAATTTTCTACCTATTTCTAAAAATTGGCCCAGTTTTCACTCTGCTTTGTAAATGTTTTGTTAGCCTTTTCTACCCTACACTCATTGTTTCAGTATCTTGTGATTCCTCTCTGAATGAAAGTAATTGGTGGTGGTGGTAGTATTATATGCCATTGAATTTCTTGTAACTCCAAGACCCTATGTATAATATCTCTGAACCCTGCTGTGTTCTGAGGCAACCTATCATCTCTGACACACCTACCCTGATTACCCTAAACAGAGTCAATCCATTTTCTCCAGGGTCTTCCTCTTTTGCACTGTCCCTCCCTCCCTCTCCCCAAGCATGATGCCCCTCTCCAAGGACTGTTCCTCCTCACAACATGCCTGAAATACATCAGACGAAGCTTCAGAATCCTTGCCTCCAAGGATTTCAACCTCTTTAGGGTGAACCTGTTCTCCTAGCAGTCCATGGTATATTCAATTCTCTTCTCCAGCAGCACAGATTAAAGACATCAATTTTCCTTCTATCATTCTTAGTCGTTGTCCAGCTCTCTGACACATAGCAACTAAATAGCAAGTAAAATGAAAATAACTGACCTCCATTAAAATATCACGATGATTGGAGTAGAATAAAAGAGCAAAGTGTAGATGTGTTCTTCTTAGGGTTGCTGGTTGCCTTGAGGACACCTAGCAAAAACAACACCACCACCACAACAACATTAGAATGCCCCAGATTAGGATATTTTAAAGTAGAATAGAAATAAGTAGTAACACCAGGAGTATTTCAGAGTAATATTCAGGCTATGGAAAAGAAGGATTTGTGTTTTTAATAAGTATGCAAAGATGTGTTTTAATAGATGTGTTATCTAGAGAGCTGTTTGAGTTAGTCTTAGAAGGTGCTCCTGAGTGAATTTTCCAGCAATGTTATCTTTCTTTTCTTCGATGTATCTTTCTTTTCTGTAAATTCTCCTTGGGAATTTAGTGCTCAACCAAGACTGGCATTCCCAAAGTCGTCTTTGCATTCACATTACAGATGGAACTAAGTGCTTTAGCCTAACTTTCTCAAATTTGATGCTAAATTGGATGTTGGTGTCAACAGCTCTAACACTCAAGTGTTACTAGTTTATAAATTCTGTTTAATACTTACCTTCAACTCAGGCTAAATCTTTGAGGTGTGAGTGATGGAATATTTAGGAAGTTGAAAATGCTGAAAATTTTTCTACGTCTTAAAACTTTGGATACATGCCAGTCAACTACCTGAATAAGAGGTGTGTCTCTGAGAAATCTTAATTTTACTTAATTGTTATACCTTATTTCAATTTGTGCATTCCATTTCTTTCTTAACAATATCCAATTTTCCTACATTCATGGTTCTAACATTCCATGTTCTAATCACTAGTGTCTGCTTACAGTTATTCCTCCTCCTATGTGTTTCCATACTTGAGGGCTCAGCCTCGGTTGCCATATCTGCTAGTCTAAGTGTACTCTATTATAAATCGGGGTTTCGAAGGCCTGCTGTTTCAGAAGTGGATGACCAATATTTCTTCCTAGTCTGTCTTAATTTGAATGCTTAGATATAGAATATTATCTGACGTTGTTGTTGTTGTTATGTGCCATCGAGTCGTTTCCGACTCATAGCGACCCTATGCACAACAGCTCTAAACCCTGCCCTATCCTGCGCCAACCGCACCGCCTCTGACACACAGACAAGTATTTTATGGAAAAGAGCAGATTAAAGACATTTCCCAATTGTATAAATAACCAATAGATTTGCTTCAGTGTTGTCCCCGCCATTGGCACATGTCTTGAACCACCCCTTTCCTTGCTCCAACAGCATTCATTTTTACTCCCACCTACTCAAAGTACTGAAGAGCAATGATGTCAGCCCTGGAGACTATGGTATGCCTGATCCAGGCCATGGCCTTTGCAATTAATTGCTATGCATCAGAAAGCTGGACAATGACTAGGGATGATAGAAGGAGAATTGATGCTCTTGAGCTGTGGTGCTTGGAGAAGAGTATTGAATATACCTTGGACTGCTAGGAGAACAAACAAGTTCATCCTAGAGAGGATGAGACCAGGCTGTTCCTTGAGGCAAGGATTCTGAAGCTTGTCTGACATACTTTGGACATGTTGCAAGGAGAGACCAGTTCTTGGAGAGGGATGTCATGCTTGGGAGGGTGGAGGGACAGTGCAAGAGAGGAATACCCTCAATGAGATGTATTGATTCAGTGGCTGGGGTTATGGGGGTAGGTGTGTCAGAGACAATAAGATTGACACAGAATAGAGCAGCGTGTAGTGTTGTTGTACGTAGGATTGTTATGAGTCCCAGACAACTTGATGACACATAACAACAACAACAAATCTTACTAGTTAAAGAATGGTTTTGTATCAGAAATAAGAGTGAAACACATTCCATAAGGAGCAAGATTTTAACATGAAGGTGGAACTAATTTAAATAAAAAAAAAATTAGTAATGTTCCTTCCATCCCTCATATACTCTTCCACCCCTTTGTCACAGTGAAATATCTTTTCCCCATTTAGATTTTGGGAGATCTCTGTTTAGAGAGCTCTGGTGACTTAGTGGTGAGGAGCTGTGCTGTCAGCTGAAAGTATGTAATTCAAATCCAGCAGCTGCTCTGTGGAGAAAGGTAGGAGTCTCCTCCTGTGTGGCTTACTGCCTCTGAAAACCTGCTGGAGAATCAGATATAGGTGGTCTATTCCAACTCAATGGCACACAGTAACAACAACAAATAGAAAGATTAATGGTAATATATAAAATAAGGAACTTTGTGATAATTAAACATGAAAAATTAAAGGATTTATATTTTATTTTTTGTTTGTAAGAGACTTCCACTTGATTAAATCTTGGGTTGGTAAATTATAGATTTTTTTTTTAATATTCCTTGAGTGGTTTACTTGTAGAAAATCTTTCTAGAGTTCAATCAGTTTTATAAACCAAAACCTTCTTAATGTTATTTTTTTTATGTATCCTTTTTAAAGCTAAGGAAATCTATAGAAGTTAAATGCATTGTTCAAACACACATGCCTAATATTTCCTATCGTTTGGCTTTCTTTAGCTTAAACCTACTAATTTTTACATCTTCTGTGTATTTACTAAAATCTGGGGCCATTGACTAGACATCACTATTTCTTAGAACCTTTTATTATCTTAATTTCTAAGTCAGACACTTGTCCCAACAGTCATGGAGAACATTGTAGCTATATATTTCCAATCGCTGCCAGGAAGACCTGGGACTACGTGGCAAAGGCTTTGTTCTGAAATTCTTCCTTCTCGCTTTCTACATCATTCCTCTGTGTTCTTCTGACAATTCATTATAGACGACAATGCTTGCCCAAAGTGAAGCTAACTTCCTGAAACTACCGCACTGTTTATTCTTCTCCATTTTGAAACTGACTGGGACTAACTTCACATGTAAAGCCATGTGAAACTATTAACTACAAGTGATTCAGTAAAGCTAAGTAAGCCTTTGATATCCTTGTTGGATAGAATACTGGATATTTCACCTCTGTCATATTATAAATTTGAGGAAACTTTTGTTCTGTAGGAAACTGCTCTGGGGTTGGGAAAGGAACAGATGCCAGCCAGACTAGAAGCAGAGTCTTTAATGTGGTGACAAAATATGTGAAATTGTTCACTATAGATTAGTAAGTTAGCGCAAGTGAGTCTGTGCTTATTTTGCTGTTTGGATAATCCAACATTAACGTCTATACCCCAAAGTAATTTCTGAGGAAAAGATGTAGACTTGTCTTGTGATTATTGATGTTTCTTAGTAAAGAGCAAGTATGCACTTTCTCCAGGAAACATGATCTTGTTGTTGTTGTTGTTGGTTGCCATCGAGTTGAGCATGACTCATAGCAACCCCATGAACAAAAAGCCCGAAGCCTTTCTGTAACTATCATCGTTTCTCAAAGTTCATAGAGTTTCTAGAGACATGTTTTTTAGGAAGTGGATGCCACTCCTGCTAGTAAACTAAATTCTCGAAAGGAATTTTAATAATGAAAATGTTAACTAGGAGATTGCTCCCACAATCAAGTGATGTTTAAACCTGTTAGTTTTAGACATGATAGATATAATTAGCCTCTTATTTACCTCAGAGCTGTGAATGTATGCCTTCTCTCTTCCCAAAGGAGACCTTGCAGCAGGTGAAAATTATCTCAGTAAACAACCCACTTGTTTTTCTGAATGCAAAGAAGTTTCATACAGATCTAATGAATTTCATCCAGAAGGAAAATACCAGCAACCAACCACTTGATGATATCAACAAGGTAGGAGTAGCTATGGTATGATTAGAAAATCCCACTATAGACAACTTTACAATAATTATGATACTGTAAATACAAGGAAAAAATAAGTGTTTAGAGATCTCTCACCCCAATAGAATATAGTAATGCATTTTATTTTTTGTTTGCTTCTTAAAATTAACATTTAAATAATCATTCTCCTCTTAAATCATTAATTCAACACAGGTCTTGTGAATATGTATATCAGAGAGTATAACTCTGAGGAGAATAGGTAAGATGTAACACCTAGTCCAAAGGACACTTTTTACCAAGAGGGAGAAGATGGACACACAAAGCTGTAAAGGACATAGAGTATGATAAATGACTTCAGAGAAGCATATATGGCTAACATTAGTATAAGATGTTAGTAGCATCCTTTATTTCCCCACATCAGTATGCTATAACATTTTTGAGCCGTTTATGATCATTAAGCTGTCTGCAGTGTAGTGTGGTATTTAAGAACATGGACCTAGGTGCTAAGCTGAGTTTGTAATTTACTACTTGTGGCGTCCTGGCTGTATTATTATTGAATTTTAGTGCTTCAGAGTCTTCATTTATAGTAAAAATGATTAAATGACTTAATAAGCACAAAGTACTTAGAATGAGACATAGGACTTAGTCAATACTATGAAATATTAGCTGATACTTTGATGATGATTGATTGCAAGTTTGACTCTTCTCCATAAAGCTTCCCTTGATTCATCTAGATCACTAAGATTTCCTCTCTGTCTTGTGCTGTCAAGCATCTATTGTCTCTCAATGACTTGAGTAGCTGAGAAATGTTGGCCTTCTCATCTTTGGCACCTCAATACATGCAATACATTCCTATCTCTACTACGTGCTTATGTCTCTGAGCTTCATCCTGATCCCTACCATAGAGGTTCACCTACAGCGCTGGATAAGTGAAAGTCTGGGATCTCTAGTGAAACAATATCAAGGATTTCAAGATGAGGGCAGTAGAGCAATAAACCAAACATAAGACCCCTTTGAACAGGAAGCAGGGAGTTCTGGTGAATAGTCCGTAGGAAGTTGCATTGCAGACCCAAAGGCTATATCTCTCTGCTGGTTTGAATCCACCAAAGTATCCATGGGAGAAATGTGGGCTGTCTCATCCTGTGTGATGTTCATGCAGCCTTCAAAATCCCCCTGGGGGTCAGATGTGACTTGGCTCTGAGTCTACAGCAACGAGTTTGAGGAGCCGTTTGGTGTGTTTTAAGCATGAAGCACTGCACATCTGCACGATGTGTATATACACACAGCTGATCCTGCCAGCCCAACACCAGGACTATCTTCACCCTTCACTATGCTTGCCAGAATTTCATTTTGCAGAGAATCAGGAGCCACCAACAATGGTTCAGAGGTTGAGGAGAACTTGCTTTCACGCTGAAAGGGAAAATATATTTGCTGGTCCATTTCTTTGACACAGCTGTATAAACCCTGGTGGAGATATTCAGGGGTTTGTCCTGAGTTCTGACTAAACATATCTAAAAAGCAGGGGAGCTCTGGTGGCCTAGTGGTAAGGAGCTGTAACTACAATCCCAGAGGCGCACGGTTTGAATCCACCAGATGCTCTGCCGAGGAAGGAGGGACAATCTCCTCCTGTACCAGTCAGATCTGATTTGACGGTACACTCACACAAAAATAATAAAATTTTTAAAAAAACCAAACACAAAACATATCTGAAAAGCATTTTTGTTCTTTTTTTCCCCCAAGGCTCCCGGTGCTTATTTTAATGTTACATTCTTTTGTAGGAGCTTTAGTAGCTTCTTGTTGAGTATGGTCAAGTTGCAACTGACCCTTACTTGACCCACCCATAGATTTTCAGAGGCTGTAAATCACATGAGAGGATGTTGTTCATCCTTATCCCACAGAGCAGTGGGTAGATTCGAACTGTGTACCTTTGGGATTACAGCACAACTTCTTACCACTAGGCCACCAGAGATCCCTTAGGGATAAGGAATTGCACTGCCATTGCAAAAATATACAGTTCAAATCAACTGCATACTTTTTTTTTTGCGGGAGAAATATGAGCAATCTCCTCTGGTGCGATTTACTGCCTGTGACAACCTGCTGGAGCATTAGCTATGGGTTGGTTCTTACTTTAAGGTACACAACAAGAAGTAGAATAATCGGCGGAAGTAAAGATTGTTATAACCAAGTCTTCATTGAAGAAAGACAAGTCTCAACACTGGCCCTCTAATGGAGAATATGCTGCATATGTGATTATATTTCCTATAGCTGGAGAATATGCTGCATATGTGATTATATTTCCTATAGCTCCAGAAATTTGAGTCTAATGACCAAATAGAGTTCCTTGGTGCCAAGTTATTGGAAGATTGTGATACTTAAAAGGGTTATTTAAACTCAGTATTTAATAGGAAGGGGTTTATTGAAAGAGCACCTCATCATAATTATAATAATGCAAAGATTGTTTGTATACTTCCATGAAGTTTAAAAGATTTATTAAAAGGCAAGATTTATAAAAACTCTCCAAAGTTAAATCCTCCAGCATGTTTTTAGAGGCTGTAAATTACACAGGAGAAGATTGCTCTTCTTTCTCTCTCTCAGAACCACTGATGGATTCGAACTGCTTACCTTTGAATTGGCAGTGCAACTTCTTACCCAATAGGTCATACTCTCTAAGGATCAATTCTTATCCAGATGGTTAACAAGCAACGTTGTTTGGTATCTTATACCTGTGATCTGTCTGTATATGATAGCTACTTCTTTTATATTTGTTTATTTAATTAACAAATATTGACACATACGCTATTACTAAATCCATATGTTATTTAGTTTTTAAATAGATATTTATTTATTTAGGTATGCAATTGACTTTTTTTGTGTGTGTGTGTTTCATTTCAGTGTGAACAGAACATGCTGCTAAATTCTCTAACCAATGGCAACTGCAATGGTGAGTTTATTACTAACCCACCTTAAAAAAAAAAAAGAAAAAGTTAAGTGCTTTGACTCTAAATGAAACAGAATGAAGCCTTCTTCCCTGGATTCTTCCCTCTCTTCCTTCCTTCTTTCCTTCCTT